AACCTCGACTTAATCCAACCTTACTTTTAGCCCATGTTGAGCCTAGATCAGTCAAGCAAGCACTCTCTTCTCCCCAGTGGTCAGCTGCAATGAAATCTGAATATGATGCATTGATTTCTAACAATACTGGGTCTTTAGTTCCTCTTCCTCCAGATAAACAGGCTATAGGTTGCAAATGGGTGTTCAGAGTGAAAGAAAATGCAGATGGCTCTTTGAACAAATTTAAAGCAAGATTAGTTGCTAAAGGTTTCCATCAGAGACATGGTTTTGATTTTGGAGAAACTTTTTCACCTGTTGTCAAGCCCATTACAATCAGAATACTCCTTACCCATGCTGTATCTCATCAGTGGACTATCCAACAATTGGATGTCAATAATGCTTTCCTTAATGGTGACCTAAGTGAAGAAGTGTATATGGTACAATCTCCAAGCTTTCAAGCAAAAGATACATCTTTAGTCTGCAGACTTCACAAATCCCCACATGGCCTGAAACAGGCACCTAGATCCTGGTTCCACAAACTGACTTCAACTCTTTACAATGCTGGGTTCAAGCAAAGCAAGTGTGATCCTTCCTTACTTCTGTTTACATCTTCTGGCATTCTGATATACATTCTTATCTATGTTGATGACATACTTGTCATCGGCAACAACTCTTCAGACATTCACACTCTCATCAGCAAATTAAACTCTTCCTTCTCTCTTAAAAACCTGGGAGACATTGATTTCTTTTTAGGAATCCAAGTCCAGAAGCTTCAAGATGGAAGCTTACATCTTTCTCAAGCTAAGTATGTCAGAGATTTACTGCATCAAGCTGGAATGACAGATTCTAAAGGAGTCATGACTCCTATGATTAGCACTTGCAAGCTTACCCGTGAAGGGAGTGAATCCTTACCTGATCCTTCTTTATACAGATCTGTAGTTGGTACTCTACAGTATGCTACCCTAACAAGACCTGAGATCAGCTGTGCAGTTAATAAGGTCTGTCAGTTCATGGCTACACCTCTGCAAGATCATTGGAAAGCAGTTAAGCACATACTACGCTATCTGTCTGGCACAATTACACATGGAATTCTCATCAAACCCATTCCTTTATCTACCATGTCTCTACCCATTTCAGCATTCTGTGATGCTGATTGGGCCTCTGATCCCAATGACAGAAAATCCACATCAGGATCTTGTACCTTCCTTGGTCCCAATATCATTTCCCGGTGGTCCAAGAAACAATTGCGTGTTGCCAGATCCTCAGCAGAAGCTGAGTACAGAAGCATGTCTGATACAACAGCTGAACTTCTATGGGTTCAATTTCTACTCCATGAACTGCAGGTTCCCTTTGCAGTTCCAAAGATGTATTGTGACAATCAAAGCACAGTTCAGCTTGCTCACAATCCTGTTTTACACTCTCGCATTAAGCATATGGAGATTGATCTATTTTTTGTCAGAGAGAAAGTTCAACTGAAGCAATTGCAAGTGTTTCACATTCCTGCTCAACATCAACTGGCTGATATTCTAACAAAACCTTTGTCTGCTTCATCCTTCATTGATTTAAGAACCAAACTTAGTGTGGTTGCATCTCCAGCAAAATCACCCTAAGTTTGAGGGGGGAATGTTAGATATACTATACGAATTGTATTAGTATAAGTCAGTTGCACTTCAGTTAGTTAGTTAGTCAGCAGAGCTGTAGCTTTCTATAAATACTCTCTGTACTCTTCATTACAGTTAATGAGAATAATCCTTCTTCCTCATTCTCTCTATCTCAAATTCTATTAAATCTCCTTTAATCCATTCATGAATTTGTCTTTAAGCATCTCAGACTCCTTGAATCTCATAGAAGCTATCACCAATTCATATATCTCGTCATCTGATGCCTTTCGGTTCAAGTATTTTTGAAAATTTGGGAATAGGAGAGACACATTTTCATTTCCATGCTTGTCAATAATAAATATACCAGTCTTAATAATGTTCTCAGGTACCAAGTGGTAAGCACAATTTGATATATTCAAATCAATCTCCCTTCTTGGGCTGATATGATTTTTGTTAATGGACACCTCCTCTTTATATGTAGGCTGTGAACTGATGATTTCTCCTCTGTCTAGCCTCGCACTAGGGCTCACATAGGGCGATCCCGTTGATTTCGAGTCTCCTCCTGATCGAGTCACACATGAGCTGTTAGTAGATGAAGAGACCTGCGAACAGGGGAGATCTGTTTGTGAAGAACCCTGAGGTGTGGGAAATACTGTTCGCAGCAAAGCTGGCGAACTGGAAGAAGCTGCTGACGATGAAGATCGAAGAGGAGAAACAGTTCACAACGAACTGGGAGATGATGCGGTTAGCGACTGCGAGCTGGATGAAGCTAGAGATGAAGTCAGCGAACGGGAAGATGAAGTTCGCGATTGCGAACTGAAATGATATGTGAGCGTCGAACTCTGCGACCTATGAGAAGCTGTACGCGATGGGGCCTGTGAACTGCGGACATCTGCTCGGGGCGAAGCTTGTGAACAGGGAAGAGTTATTGACGATCGCTGAGAACTGCGATAAATTGTAGGTGACGAAGAGGGCTGGTGAGTAGCGGCTAACGTCGAGCATTGCTTTTCAATTGGCCGACGATGTCTAGGAGGGCTCCTCGCTCGGCCTCTAGTTCTCCGGCGACCCTGTTTATGCAGATGATTTATCATCTCATCCAGCATCGTTTCCATCTTCGTAAAATTTCCTGTGCTATTCTCCATTTGCGATTGCTCTGTGATGATCGATTCTAACTCCAGGAGCGATTGCTTTGATACCAATGATAGGTACTCGAGAATTTGACGGTGAATTGAAGTAGATTAAAAGGATGAAAATTGATAAAACTGAAAAGAGAAGGTACAAGAGACACTTCGAGTAGTCTCAACACTCCCAAGTTCCAGTCCCAAATTCTCCTCCCCATCTCCTCACCACTCTCACTTATTTATTCTATTTCTAATGGGCCAGCCCACTATTACATTTGATTAAAATACTCAGTATTATTTTTATTATATCTCACTCTATAAGCCATTAAGTTCAGGTCTCTATCAGAGTATTGGTATAATACCAATTACCACATATCCTTAAAACAGACTCCCTATAAGACACTTTATGGACAAGATCCACCTGTGATCATCAAAGGAGATGTATCTATTACTGCTATTGATGAAGTGGCCAGGATGACTGCTGAAAGAAACGGAATGTTAAATGAAATCAAGGAAAACTTAGCTATTGCTCAAAATAAGATGAAGCAACAGGCTAATAAGCACAGGAGGGAACTGAAACTAGAAGTTGGGGAACAAGTTTTTCTGAAGATTCAACCATACAAGATGCAGAGCTTGTCCAAAAGATTGAACCAGAAATGAAGTCCCAGGTTCTATGGACCTTTTGAGGTTATTGAGAAGTTGAATGATGTTGCTTTCAAACTGAAGTTACCAGAACATTGTTTGATACACCCAGTGTTCCATATTTCTCTACTCAAGAAAGCCTTATCCCCAAACACTCCTTGTCAACCGTTGCCTAAATGCTTGAATGAGAATTGGGAATTGCAGGTTATACCAGAGAAGGTGGTGGATACCAGAAATGTGGATGGACTAACAGAGCTTCTCATACAGTGGAAGGATTTACCTGAGTTTGAGAGATCTTGGGAAGATTCACAAGTATTGAAGGAGCAATTTCCAGACTTCTATCTTGGGGACAAGATAGATGTTCAGCCGGGGAGTATTGATAGAAGCACAGCTAATTCGAACACTAGAGATAAATACTTTGGCAGGGTGTATTCTAGAAGGAAGACAATAAGCTGCTAGTTATTAGTTATAGTCTGTTATTAACTAAATAACTACTTCTGTTGTTCGAACTACTATAAATAGAAGGGAGGCTGGGGGAAATAGGTAGGCTGTTAGACTGTTGTAGTATGGACTGGGAAAGATTGAGATTCACTGTCTCTCTCTTTTGGGGCTTTGGCCATCGTTGTTGGTTTCATTCAATAAAGTTCTGGAGATTTCTTCTATATTTTGTTCTATATTTTTCTGTGAAATTGTTGTGATCTATCACACTACCGCCGCCAGTGTCAGTGACTTTAAGGTCTTAAATCAATTAGTGTCTCCGCCCAAGCCAACACTGCTGTCAGTGACTTTAATGTCGCAAATCCGTTAGTGAATCCGCTCAAGCTGGCGCCTCCACCTGTCCACCATTACCTCGCTGCCATCAATGACTTTGAGGACACAAATCCCAAACTTAACCAGATGGTAATGTTAGTGACCACATCATAAGTGAATGCCTTGTAGTCTCTAATAATTCCAAACTCACTTATTGTAGTCACTATTCGTTATTAGTAATTATCCATTGATTATTAGTAATTATCCATTCGTTATTAGTGATTATCTTGACTGCACATATACATACTACATACTTTTAGTGACTATTAATATGGCTACCAATCAATATGTTTTATAAAAACAGATTTTACGATTGATGCTTCTGAATCAGTTACCACAATTATCGGAATTTAACATTTCCTATTTTTTTTTTTTGCTATGTCGAGTTATGAATACTTATCACTACAAAGATAAGGCTATCAAAACCCCCCTTTTTCCCGTCTCCTACATAACTGCCAGCTAGTCAAATTTGTGAATTTTTTTAATACTCATTTTTTTTGTCTTTTAATGTATTAATAGCAATATTTATGTAAAAACACTAATATTTTATAGTTAATTTCATTTGCCAAACCACACAACTCATAACTACTCATTTAGTTGCTCGTGAAGTGTAGTAAATGTAAAGAAACTAAATATGCTTTATGAAGAAAATGCCTATATTATGTGATTCCCAATTTTTTTAAATGCGCAGTCACTTAAGAATAAAGCTAACAAACTTGCATGCTGCCATCCCGAAGCATATCTTTTATTTGGTAATGGTGCATTTGGAATATCTAAGTCTAAGATTCCTGCATTTGTCAAATGCTTTTTAACTCACTGTATGTGTTTTTGAACATGGTGGTAACAGCTTATTTTACGATCCCTTTGGAAATATAATCTATGACTATGTAAACGCAATGGCGGATCTAAAGTCCTTAAAGGTAAAAGGGTTATTTTAGTCTCTTCTTTGTGGTTACTTGTTTCTATTGGAAAGATACCCACTTTTTGCATTAAATGCCTTCAGTTGCAGACAATGATTCCCGCTCTGTCGTCTTTCGAAGAGGATTGTGGTTAGTTTTTCTATCATTTAGTTGGTAAACTTTTTGTAAATGTTAGACTATGCTTCAACCCATGTCTGTGGGTATTTGTGATTAGTTTAAGTGAGTAACTTCCTACACTTTCCAATCAGCTAGAATATTGCGGGGCATGAGACTTGCAGCTCGTCTTAACTTTTCATTTTCGGTGGAGATTGACACTGCTATAAGGAAGCTGTCTCAATCCATCAAGAGTCTAAGCAAGGTACACTCCAGAGATTTTATTGGGAAAATGGAGGCACCACAACTCATAACATATAACTTTTTCACGGGAAAATAACAAAAAAGAACAGAGCAAACAAATTAATTATCAATGAAATATTACTGACTTTTGAGATGTTTCTATAAAATTACACTTTTCCACTTTTTTTATTTGAAATGCCATTATTTCCTTTCACAGTCCAGATTAATGATGGAAGTTGGTTATATGCTTTCATATGGGGCTGCAGTCCCCTCCATTAGCTTGCTTCAGAGATATAACTTGCTTGAAGTTCTGCTACCATTTCATGTGAGTTTGTTGTATCCATTCCACCATTGCATTTTGATAAAAAGAGTATAAATTTTTTAAAAAGGTGCCTTTAATTTACATACAGGCAGCATATCTTGCTAAACAGGCCGCCAAACAATCCAGCGAAACTATCTTAATGCTGATGGTATGCTTGTCTTCCCCTGATGTACATGCGTTTCCTATAAAATCATAGCTTGTTTTCTAAACTTTTCTGTGCTGATAGATCTAATAAGTCATTCTGCTATACACACTTACCTAGTTACATATCTTAATTGTTTTCCTATGGTAAATTTCAGCAGAATTTTTTTTGTATTGAACCACGACCTTGCTGCTAGTGGAGGTTTTAAAATCGCTTTTATGAGAGGATATAAAGGTTGAAGGCTACATGCTTGACCTGTTTTCAAACACGTTCAAATTGGATCCTTGAAACTGCTCTTAAATTCTCAAAAGCTCTTTTCTTTTTTCAATAGGGTGTAAAAATAACCATTCTAGAAAATATCCCTTCATATATTTCAAAATCCTTTCTCACAACCCAGACAGAGCTAGTATTTGTCCACTTCCTGATATTTATGAGGTTCTTGTCTGTTTTTTCAAGTGTGTAATGTTGCTGTCACATTTTTCAGAAACTATTTTCCAGTTTGGATCAACTGGTATCCTGCAATAGACCTGCTCACGATAGCTTGTGGTGAGTTATTTTCTTGAAGAAAACACTTTGAGTTTGGTATTATGCTGCTTTTTTTTTATTTATTTGATAAGCTCTTGCTTTCATGAGAAAATTGTGGGTGAGCGTAGTTATGAAGGGACATCAAGGCAAAAAGTCTCGTGGAGCTTGAGACATCTGCTCTCCAGCAATAGACAAACATTTGAATTTATAATTAAATTGTTTTAGTTTTTACCATTTACATTAATTTGATTTTTTTTTAAATTAATTAAAAACAATAATTTACAAACATTTGAATAATTAAGTGAATGACTTTATTTGCTCCATTCGAGTGTGTCTTTGAGTGTGGGTGCTTGTGTTCTCACACGTCTATGGTAGGGTTGCCCAGGTAGGGTTTCAACACGAGCATATAAATCCTATGCAACTAGATTGTTACAAATATGTTCAACTTTCTATATATATAGAGAGAGAGAGAGTGAGAGAGTGAGAGAGAGTAAGGGTCATATGAGAATAGCCCTAGTTAGATTTTTTGCGTTTAAAACGTGTTTTAAACATGTACCGTTTTTTTGAACAAAAAAACGCGTTCAAAACGAAAAATAATGTCGGTCCTTTTAAAAAGGAAAAAAACTTCCACTTCCCGTATAAAACGTATATTTCCCATATTTTACAAAAAATAAAAACATCATTTGATCTCTCGAATGAATACATCAAATGAATAGGAGATAAACAATAGTTTAAAAGCAAAAAAGAAAACCTCATCCCCGTGACCTCGTGTTTTTGTATTGTTACAATACAAAATATACAATTGTTAAATACTAAAATTAATTGCATGACGACTAAAGCTAGTATCCTAAAAGACTAAAATCTAAAATACGACTACGCATTAGATTTGTGATGTTCTTTTCCAAACAAGCATATCAAAATTAAGGTTTTTCTAAATCTGACATTTTTTAGTATAAACTTTTACACATAAACAATAATAATTGTAGCAGTCGCACAACTTTCTCATGTCATCTGTCATCTAGGTGAAAATGATGAGTTTAACTTGAGTGGTATTTGATGATCGTATAAAGATGATGATGATGTTAACTTGGCCTCATTCTATCGTTATTATGCCTTATTTTCTGACATTACTTTGCAAAATTATGTCTTAGACTTAATTACTCCGTACTATTTTTACTTTTGTCATCGACTTATGCAATTACGAATTATTCTTTTATTTAGTAATGTGATTTGCTACTTCAATATGTGTACACTCTTATTTGTTTTTATTATGTGTTATTTTACGAAGTACTTCCTCCGTTCTTTAATTCTTGCAACATTGTGATTTTTTGCACTATTCATAAACCTTACTTTGACCACGATTTTCTACTAATATACATAATCAAATTATTACGTATAAAATGTTATAAAATTCCTATCAATGTGCATTTCCAAAATATCAAATTTTTATAATGTTTACTAATATATAATTAAATATAATTACAATCAAAGTTGTGTGTTGGCAAACGTGAAAGTCAAACTGTTGCAAAAATTAAAGAACGGAGGATAGTATATAATTTAATTGTTATTTTGGACTTAATCATTATTTCTTTTTTTGTCATGAACTTATGCTATTAAAATGCATTTTTTTATGGAGTAATGAGATATTATATTTGAATGTGTGTGTATGTTGATTATCCTTTATGTACTATATATTTTTATGCTCTAAAAACTAGTACAATAATTTAATCATTCAAAATAAGACCCGTATTTTTAACCCGAATTTTTCTAAGAGATGCCATATTATACATGTATATGTATTTACACGTTTTATAAGAGTCAAAGCATTTTTTGTCGAAGTTTTGACTGTATTTTTTGTTCAAGTTACCGAATAAAACACATACGTATTAAATCACGTTTAACTCCCGTACCGCATTTAACTAACTATGGAGAATACATCTTAGGAGAGAAATGATAATGATTCTGGAGCGTTGGATCTGGGTTTCGTGCATCATGTAAAACAGAAATGTGCATATCAAAAATAGGAAAATGTGCATTTCAAGTGTACAAAAGTTTAAACGTAAATGTGCATATTGGATTTTTGCATTACTTTAACTATAAATGTGCAATTTTGTAAACGATAAAGTGCATCGTTTTGGAGCGTTTTCATTTCTCACGTTAAGGAGGGTTCTCACTGGAACCGCACCCTATATATAATTTGGTTGAAATGATAATGATTATGGAGCGTTGAATATGAGTATCGTGCATTATGTGAAACATAAATGTGCATTATCATAAATAAAAAATGTGCATTTCTACTGTGCATAAGTTTAATCATAAATGTGCACATTTGAACTTTAATTATAAATGTGCCACTTCGTGAACCATAATGGGCATTGTTTTGGAGCGTTCTCATTTTTCACATTAAGGAATGTTCTCACCAGAACCGGACCCCATATATATATATATTCAACTTTTGGGCCTCAAAGAAAGAAGAATTGGTTAAAAACCGCAAGTTGATTTGTCGCATTGACATAGCTTGTGAGAATATGTCCATCTATGATCTTGCCTCATAATTGAAATAGACTAAGCACAATTACTGCATGAAATTTATGGCCTCTTGAGTCGTGATTTTTGGTAATTCAGAATTTCAGATTTCCAACAAACCTCTATCCATATTAGGTACCCCCCCTGTTCCAGTAAGAGTTTGACATTCAGATCTGTTAGTGTTTCCACAGATTTACACTCCATAAATACTTCATAGTGAAAGAACAAAAGTTGGAATGAACTAAGGGAGTGTTTGCGGTTGCTTATACTTAAAAAAAGTAGTTTTTCAAAGTGATTTTGGAGAAAGTGCTTAATAGTAGAAGTTGGTAGTGTTTGAGAAAAAAGTGTTTTTGAAAAGGTAAAAGTTGGTAGTGTTTGAAAAAAAGTGTTTTTGAAAAGGTAAAGGTTGGTAGTGTTTGGTAAAATAATTGCTTTTTGTCTAATAGAAAAAGTGAAAAGCAGTTTAAAGCACCTCTCCACCCGCTTAAAGCTTTTAGCTTTTAAGTGCTTAATTTAAGCATAAACTGTCTCTTGAAAACACTCATTTCAACTTTGTTCAAGTCAAAACGTGAAAAGCACTTTTTAATTTTTTTGCAAACACTCCTTAATAGTTGTGTAACCAGAAATAGAAAATTTTCCGCCTGAACATGTGTGCTCTCACTATAATAATTAATACTACACTAGAAGCTACTCCGTATAAAATTGATTTCCCCATTCCTTTTTTAAAACCCGGCAGACAAACCACCAAAATCAGTGGGGTAAATGTCGGGGAACATTACCGAGTTTTATTAATGAAATAAAAGAATACAAAAAGAGGTGGACTAGACCAAAACCCCTCCATAGGAGGCATACCTCCTAAAATACAACCAAAATTCCCCATTCCCTTGTTCTTTCACTTCTTATATTCATAATGGTTGTATGTTGGGTTCCCCCTATTAAAATCCAACATTAAGTGCTTCAGTCATTTTACTTTTGATCCATTCTCTTTCACTTCTGCTGGACAATTATGAATTTGTTTTGCCACTTCTGGTCCTGCTGCTCACTTTTCGGGCGAAAATCAACCGAAAATTGTGCCAAAATCGGATACTTAAGTGTTCAGAAAGACCAAAAGTATGCTCTCTAGTTAGCAACAAAAAGTGGAAATTCTCAGGGAACGAAAGTGGGAAGGGCTTAGTGGTCGTGTGACCAGAAACAGAAATGTTTCTGCCTGAAAACGTATGTTCTCACGATTATACTACAGTACTACACTACAAGCAAGAAGACAAAATCTTGTATTCTTTTATACTCTCTACTTGTTCTTAAAGGGTTCAATGATGAGTTAGTCTGCTCTATTAATTCCAATATTAAGTATTGTGAAGTTATTCCTTTTTATGGTATTGAACAGGGTTAAATGATTATTTTTTATGGTATTGGACAGGGTTGCACTCTTGGCATTTCACATGTCGTTAGCCAATAATCCTGAGGACATACTAGTGGTCCTGACTTTTGCCTCTGTGTTGTATCATGGAAGGTGGAGAGAAGGGGTTAAATTTGCAAGACAACATGCTAAAGCAGCAATTTCATATGCACCTGAAATTTCAGGCTCTGATGGCGATGGCTTCATGTCAGAAGATGATGTGCTTGCTGAAAGAGTTAAGAATATGGCAGCACAAGTTCAAGCTTCTGCACATGAATTGATTGATGCAGAGAACCTTAAGAAAATGACATTGAATCTCTCCGGTTCTTCGTCCTCTTGTTTGGTCGGTACACCTCCCGTTTTTATTTTAAAAAGTTGCACACGATTCAATAAAACCATACAATGACATTTATGCCCTTGTTTATGTCTAGTTTATTAACGCTTTTACTCCCAATACTTCAAGTGCAAGTGTTCAGTTGATAAGAGTAATTACGGGCAATTTTGTATGGTTAGGGAAAATTATCTTGTGCATTCCCATACCGACAAATATTTGAGGACTATTTTTTGTGTGGCTAAGACAATTGTCATTTTGCGATGGAGTAGGTACATAATAGCGTTTTTCTAGAGCCAACATGCATACATTGGTTATTGCCTCACCTTAATGTTTTTCCTAGCAACGTGAATAAAGGTTGAATCTGAAGTGTCAACTAAAATTTATGTTGTACGGAAATGTGGGAAGTATGGGGAAACGTGAAATGGGAAACACAAACACCATCTGTTAATGGAAAAGCAAGTGTTTGGAGAGTTCCTACAGAGTTTCTGAAACAGAAACTTTCTTTTTCCCAATAGTTTCTTTGCTTCATAAACTACAGTACAAGTCCTTGTTTGGTTACATGATTTTAGATGGGAGGGGAGGAAAGTGAATGAGTTGTTTGTGCTTGTTTTTTTTCTGGGGGGGAGGCTTGGGGCAAGAGTTTGGAAAGTGGAGGAGCTATAAAATCTCCCAAAGCCTTCATGCATCATTTCCCCAATTTTGGGAATTTTCAGGAGTTTTTTCTTCTTAATTTCTTTCTTTTTCCTCAAGCAAGATTGTTCGACAGTATTATATTTTACTCATGTATAGATTTGTTATGTTTAATTTAAATCTAAATCTAAATCTAAATCCTTCCCAATTGGTTTATTCAAACATGGTTATTTTAACAACCTCCGTTTTCCTGCACTGCTTCCATCATTTCTCTTCCTTCTTTAAAATCAAACTTGGCCTAAAGTTATCTAGTTATTCTTATGTTTGTTACATCCACATAATTTTTTTCTTTTATTGATCACATATATTTTGTTCTCCAGGTATTTATATCCAAGAAAATGGTGAAGAGTGTGGTGGCATTTCTTGATATTTTGGTGAATGATGTAACATCTCTGGACACGAACAGAACTAACCTACTAATAGACTATGAAAGACTCGTTAAAGGACATGTCTGTGAGACAAGGTTTGTCCTAGGTACTATAATCTTGGACACTTTAGGTTTAGGAGACGCTTTGGCAGAATTGAGGAAAAACAGATCTGAAAAGGTTGACAAGAAGAGGAAGGAGAGTTCCCAGATCAGCGAAAACGACCATAAAATGATACTGAGAAAGAATAATCTGGGTAAGGATATAAGGGGGTATGAAACAATAGGCGAAGGTAGGGGTAATTATGACATGATAGGCCATAAAAGATCTGGAGATGAAGATACTGGTGAGGTACAGGAAAAAAGAATGCAGAACTTTGATGTTAGTAAGAAGGTTTCTAAAGACATAATAAGCCATAAGAAAACTGGAGATGAAGATGGTGGTGAAGAATTGGAAAGAAGAAAGATGGACCGCGATGGTAGTGTTTTGGGATCAGGTGATAAGGAAGGAAAGAAGAAGGATAAATCCCAGATCATCAGAGAAAATGACCATAAGATATTACTGAGAAAGGTTATGCCGAGTAAGGATATACCGAGAGAGAAAATAATAGGCGGAGATAAGCCTAGTAAGAAGGTTTTAAAAAGCATGAAAAATCATAAAAGATCTGGAGATGGAGATGGTGGCGGGATAAGTGAAAGAAGAAAGCGGGATTTTGATTGTAGTGTTTCTGGATCAGGTGAAAAGGATGAAAAGAAGAGGAATGAGAATTCCCAGATCAGAGAAGATGACCATAAGATGTTACTGAGAAAGAATGTGCTGGGTAAGGATTTACTGGAGGATGAGATAATTGGGAGAGATAAGGTTAGTCAGAAGGTTATTAGAAACACGGTAAATCTTAAAAGATCCGGAGATGAAGATGGTGGTGAGGTACGGGGAAGGAAGCAGGATTTGAATGGTAATATTTTGGGATCAAGTGATAAGGTTGAAAAGAAGAAGACCCTTCACAGCATTTTCAAGTGAGTTTAACTTTAGTTTGTACTGACTGCTAGATGCTCACAACAGTATCTTAAACAACTCCGGTGCCAGCAAAACTCATTTTTATCTTATTTTATTTATTTATTTGTACTTCAACATCTTGAAGGAAAGGTTTGGCGCACCGGTTACGGTGTTTGCGTTTTCTTATTATGAAGCAGCCGTTAGTCAATTTTTGATGCAATTTTTATCATGGGTCATTCAGAAACAGTCTCTTTGTGCTTCAGTTCAAGACTAAAAGACCTGCATATGACCCCCTTATCCCATTGTAGGTGGGAAGTCTTTGCGGCATTGGGGTAATGTTGTATTCAAATTTAGTCATTTTTGGAAATGAGCTTCACTGTCATAATATTATAAGAAAACCCCCTTTTATTGTGCTTCAATTGCACTTTTACTTTTATTAATACCACAAATTTAGATATTACAATGACTTTTATAAGAAGACTTTAACAGCCGTCTTCAGCTTCACAATTGTAACATCATATGGGATTGATGATGTATGCTGTAGCTGTGTTATTGTACTTGATGCTCCATTTGGCAGAGCAAAATTGGGTGAAGTTAACTGTGAATTAAGTGTTGCTAAAATTAATGATTTGGTTGAAGTATTTATTATAATCTATAAAGTGTATTGGGATTTGGTTGAACACAGGCATTACTGAGGCTTTTGGGGTTGAGTGTAGGATACGTTTCCCTGTTTAGGGAACCTCCTTTTCTTATGATCGTTTCCCTTGCAGGTATTACAAGTCATTTGGTACTTAATTCCCTTTTTATCAACTGTTTTTTTTTAACCCGGTAGGCAAACCACCAAAACCAGTGAGACAAATGCCGGGGAACAATTGCCATGTTTTATTAAAAAGAAACAAAGGATACAAAGACGAAGAGGGGGACTAGGCCAAAACCTCTTCAGAAAGGGCATCCCCTTTCAAAAATACACACCAAAAATCGGAACAGACCAGAAACAAAAGCTACAGTAGAAAAATTACCAAATACACCGAAAAGATGGAATATTGAATACATTAAGGTAGTAAGCACTTCTAACAATGGAAGGGAGAGAAGCAATTGTAGAAAAAACTCTAAAATGGGCCACCTGCATACCCGCAAGGTAATGGGCCGACCAATTAGCCTGCCTCATAACTTGTCCAAACGAAATATTGGCCCACTTAGCCTTGTCCAAAATCTCTTTGATCAGCCCTTGCCATTTTCCAGTCTGCTTACCTGAAAGAAGACCCAACACTTCAACCGAATCAAATTCCACCTGAAAATCAACATAACCCTCTCCAATCGCCCAGTTCATCGTCATTCACATGGCTTCAAGCTCTGCCTCAAAACTCGAGGCTACCTTCAAAGGAAACTGGATAGTGAATACGAAATCACCTGCATCATTTCGCATCATAGCTTCGCCCGACGCCATATCAGCAAGGTAAGAAGCATATGTGTTCAATTTTAACCTTCCTTTAGGTTTCATCCAGCGAATCGACCTGAGTATTCTGTTAGTGAGCTTAAACGTAGTAGGAATGAAGTTTTCACTGATAAGGATTTTGTCAACAACCATAAGTTTCATACCTGACAAACTGAGAACCCAAGACTGCGTATACATTTTAATCTGCCAGATAAATTTATCAGGGATGATAGTAGAAAATTTATTTCCCCATAGAATCTGAGAATAGATCTTCCAAATAAGCCAGCAAATAATACCCGGAATATTATGCCTGAAGATATCCATCATATGTTTGCTCCCTGCGTGGAGCCACCATTGAAAAAATACTTGTCTGATAGAATAATCCCCCATAGGAACCTCCAACACATTAGAAAATTAATTCCAAATAGATCGAATTAGAGAACAATTAAAGAAAATATGATTCATACTTTCTGAATTAGCCTTACACCAAGGACATATAGAAGGATTCATCACAATGTTAAATCTGGCAAGGTTATCCCTATTAGGCAGATATCTGTTTAATAAATTCCACTGAAATAACTGAATTTTCAGTTTTTGCTTAGGATGCCAAAGATGCTTGTTAGCAAAAGATGAAACAGATTGATTCCTCACCAAATCATATGCTGACTTAAAGGAGAAAGAACCATTCCTTTCCGCAGGCCAACACCACCTATGGTCATCATCCTGATCACATAAACTAGTTGCCAGAGAATGAATGCTACATAATCTTCTCCAAATTGGAGAGTCAGTAACTATAGGAATCATGTTATCCCCTCTTGGATACCTAGCATTAATAAAAGAAGTCCATAAAGTAGAAGAAGTTTTCCATTTCCACCACAATTTCAGTGAAAAAGCCTTTTCAATACTTTTTAAACTTCTAATTCCAAGGCCCCCCTCATGATTAGGATAGCAAAGCATGTCCTAATTCCTCCAGTGGTATTTGTTTTTATTGTTTGCAGCTCCCCAAAAGAAATTGGACATTTTTCTCTCTAACACTGTAACCACTTTTTTTGGCAGATTGTCCACAACCAAAATATGCATAGGAATAGAGCATAAAACATGCTTTATTAAGATAAGTCTACCTCCTTGATTTAACATTTTCTGCTTCCAAGATGATAATTTAGATTCAAACTGTTGAATAATGTGTCCACAATATTTGAATCTGTTAACCCCTTTATGTAAACTGACTCCCAAATACTTAGTTGGAAGAGAACCTTTATCCATTCCCAGAATATCCTTGATGCATTTTTCCCACAAATAAAAGAACTTTTGCTCAGATTAACCATCTGCCCAGATGCCTTTTGATAAAGATTAATGAACCTTTTAAAGTTTAGCAATGATCTAGATTCACCATTAAGGAAAATGAGCAAGTCATCCGCAAAAGCCAAGTGAGAGATAGGGTATCCATAAGCTCCCATCGAGTAGGGTTTTATGCAATTATTAGCAATCTGCCACTTAAGACCCCTGGAAAATGCTTCAGATGCAATGATGAAAAGAAAAGGAGAGAGACGGTCTCCTTGTTTAACCCCACGTTTGGGTTGAAAGAATCCTTGAGGACTGCCATTAATCGGAATAGACATATAGGTAGCCTGAAGATTATTTATTATGATTTTCACAATATGATCAGAAAAGCCAAATTTAATCATATTTTTTTTTAAGAAAACCCAAGAAAGCCTATCAAAAGCTTTAGCCATATCAAGCTTGATTATAACATTAGATCCTCTGACTTTCTTTTCAAGTGAGTGAACCATTTCCTGGGCAATGAGAATCTGCTCTGACATATCTCTCTCCTTCATAAAACCCACTTGCTCAGGAGAAATAATTTTAGGCAGAATATTAGCAATCCTGGTAGCCAAAACCTTAGTACAAATCTTACCCACAAAATTAGATAAACAAATAGGCCTGTAATCAGAAAAGGATGAGGGGGACTCACACTTAGGGATAAGCACCACAAAAGTACTAGAAATTTCCTTAGGAATAGGAGTTCCCAAGAAAAAATCTTGAACAACCCTGACCAGATCATCACAAATAATAATCCATTGGGATTGAGATCCCACACTGCAGCCTTAATTTCCTCCATATTTGGAAGAGCAGAAAGGCAGGCATTATCCTCTTGATCAACTAACTGTGGTATGAATTGCAGGATTTCTTCATAGTCAACATCACTCTCCTGGGAGTAAAGATTGGAGAAAAATTGGACTGCAGCCCTCCCTATATCAGGTATAGTATCTACAACCTGTCCTTCAGAGTTTTTGATAGAGTTGATATGTTGTTTCTTATTTCTGATTTTAACAAAAGAATGAAAGAATTTGGTATTGGAATCCCCATCTTTCAACCACTTAAGATTGACCTTCTGTTTCCAAAATTTTCTTTCAAGCTTGTATTTTAACAAAAGCAAACCTCTCTTGTGAGACCAATCCAATTTGTTAGATTCAGAAGGGTCTTGTTCGTAGACAGATTCAACATCCAGAACTTCCTTTTCACACCTTTTGATGTCATAAAAAATATTCCCAAAAGTTTCAGCATTACATTTTTTGAGATCATGCTTTAAGCATTTTAATTTGGAAACAATTCCCAGCATACCACCCCCAAACTCATGTTTTTTCCAACTGACTTTGACCACCTCCATAAAAGTAGAATGAGTGCACCACATATTTTGGAATCTAAAAGGTTTAGGCCCAGAAAATTGACTCTTAGAACACTGAAGAAGCAAGGGAGCATGATCTGAAGGAGATTTATTAAGGTGAGTAATTTGGATTTTTTCAAATTGATCAATGAACTTCTCATTAACTAAAATTCTGTCAAACCGCCTCCAGACTCTTCCATTTCTTCTGTTTCCTGTCCAGGTAAAACTGGAACCACTGTAAGGGAGATCCACCAAACTACAAGAAGCAATGCAGTCAGCAAACTCTGAAAGGCTGGCTAGGTGAGGAATGGCCCTACCTTGATGTTCATTGTGATATGCAATGGCATTAAAATCACCTCCAACTACCCAGGGAATATTAATAGAACCAGCTAACTTAGACAAATGTTGCCACAGGTTCCTTCTCAGAATATAATTGTGATTACCATAAATTGCAGTAAAGTATCCTGAGAAGAAATCTGAGGAGACCTTAAAATGGATGAACTGATCATTCCAGACCACCTCTGAAATATTAAAAATAGAATGATCCCAGAAAATCCAAAATTTGTTAACCTTCGAGCATAAAACATTAGAGAAACCCAATTGATGCATGAAATCATTGGCTTTATCCATATGAACAATAGGCTCAATTACTACAAGAATTTTAACACTCCACTGCTGAATGAGAGAATAAAGTCTAGATGAGGAGCCCTCTAGACCTCTCAGATTCCAAATTAAACAATTCATTGAGAAGTGGGAGGGAATTTTTTTGACAACACCAAAGCTGAGATAACAGAATTATCTGAAATTGTAGGTAAGGCCAGTTTCCTGGCAGTGTTCCTTGTTATTCTATCAGACTGATCAGGCTTAACTCTCTTTTTGAAACCTTTTCTTTTCACATTTAAAAACCCATCATCCTCTTCTGCATTTTGTCCAGGATTCTGCTGATGTGCTTCATGCTGTTTGACCACCCAATGCACTCTTTTCCTGATGACAGGTAGAGTTTCTTTCCAGGTATCAATATCTTCAATTGTTTTTGATGAACCCCCATCTGAAGAGTAATCTTTTGAAATAGTTCAAGGTTGTGAACTAAACTCTGAATCTTGGTATCATCAGAGCTAACTCCCACCTTGGGTCCAATGGTAAGAGGCATAGATTGGATTTATGGGAAAATTTCCTTAACGATCACTTCCCCTGATAATGGTGTTTCTGTGTGAGGTACAGTTGAAGATTCCTCTGCACCATGCTGCTCCACTGTAGCATCCAGATTACTTGATTTCTCAGTTACCTTTGTTGTATGGGTTTGTGAGTCTTCTATCAAAAGGGTCTCAATCACCTCTAAATCAGGATCAACACAGGGAGTTTTGGAGGATGAAGAAATGCATATTACCTCCTTAGCTTTACCCTTATCAACGTTGGTGATCACTCCCCGAGTTGTAATACTGTTTTTAGCATTCTCCTTTTCAGTAGTTCTAACTCCAGGTTTAGCTTTTGGCATCCATTTTTCAGTATTGTTGTCACGTTCCAAAGCCCCAGTGTGTGGCTCCTTTAGAC